CCCTATCATGCTGAATGGGATTTTGTATGGATTTTGCACATTTAATAGCGGCAGTATTTTAAATTCTGCTGTGCACTGATGATAGCCATTCACTGACACCTTCCTAGTTCCTTGTTCCTGCTTCCCAAGAAGAGTATTTGCTCTAAGTATTCCAACAATGATAACAGGTAACCAGTAACACGTTTAGAAGGATAACTGGCAGAAGCTCAATTCTCAGCATCATGTTTGCCAAGCAGTTCTCCATTTCTGTGCACAAGGTGATAACGGGGAAAAAAAAAAGAGAGAGAGCCTCTTTTATGTGCCGTGCCCAGCTGCCATCTCAGCATTTGAATGAAGAGCATGAGAAGGTAATGTGAAAATGCCATTGAATGCTTTGCTTGGACCGAGGCGTGAGGTTGGGGAATGAGATGATGGGTCCAGTGGGACTATCTTCAGCTGGAAACAGATTATAGAACGAGGTCAAAAGAGCATGAGAGATGGGAAGGAGATGGAACTTTTCTGAGGACAGTAATTCTATATTCCCATCTCTCTGTTGGGACCAGAAAGAATTTAATGGAAAAGATTGGATGACAGCTACATACTGTGGTTTGCTAGATGGCCAGTGTGACTTTACTTCCTTCCTTCCTTTTCCATTCCTTGCAAAGACTAAAACATTTTCTTCACACCACCCCCAACCTTCTACTATGAGTTAGGACATGTTGCAGTTTGTTGCCAGACACGGAGGGGAATAACTTGCTGCAGTTTCTTTCCCAGTATTCTCAAGGGTGGCAGGCATGAGTATGTGATGTCTTCTGATCTGTTCCAATTAAGTTCTGAGTACATGCTACTAGCAGAGGTCAATCGTTCAAGAAAAGGTTTTCAGTGAAAATTTTCAAGTAAAAGAAAATGGCTACAAGCAGTTATTCTCCAGATCTAATTCTGGGAGGTGGGAAATATGTTTTCCTAACGAATTGCCATTGATTGCTCTCTTTAATCATACCAAGGGGTCAAGTACCCAACATATGAAATGTGTAGCCTTTCTGTTTGTACTTATCCTAAGAAAATGCAAGGTGGGTTGATCCAAGATGAGATTATTGAGTACAGAGTGGAGAAGGGTAATCTGATCCTCTCCCAATAGCTCCAATATTTATTCATTTATTTATTTGTTTATTTATTAAAATTATTTTACCATAGAGTAATTCTGGGTGGCTTACAGTTACATATACAGTTAAAACGTTTTTATGTATATAAAACATATATACATTCTATCACCCAGTGAGTGAGTGCAGAAACTTTTAAAAACAAATTTGGTATCAGTGGATTTCTTTAAAAATGCAGCTGCATGTATGTGCATGAAAGAGGAAAGGTGCTTTATTACATTTTCAGACATCCTATTCTAAATAGTGTTCCTTAAATTTTAGTTTCCCAAAGTGTTGGCTGTTAGCTTGTTGAAGCTAAGAACCAACATTTTGTGGTTGTTCTGTTAAGAGGATGAGCCCTGGTGGCACAGTAGCTAGAATGCATTATTGCGGACTAACTTTGCCTATAGCCTGGAGTTCGATCCTGACCAGCTTGAAGTTGACTCAGCCTTCCATCCTTCAGTAAAATGGGCACCCAGATTGTTGGGGGCAGTATGATGACTCTATAAACCACTTAGTCAGGGCTGTAAAGCACTATGGAGCAATAAATAAGTGCTAAGTGCTATTGCTATTGTTGAAGGATGCTAAATTGAAGAAAAATGCTATATACACTTTTTGCTATATACACTCTGTGTGTGTGTGCGCGCCCACGTACACACACACACACACACACACACACACACACACACACACATGCTTTTGAGTCAATATAATATCTGGTGACCTCCTAGATAGGTCCCTGCAGTTTTCTTGGCAAGATTTCAGAAGTGGTTTGCCCTTGCCCTCCTTCCTAGGGCTAAGAGTGACTGACTGGGTCCCCCAGCTGGTTTTGTGGTGAAGGTTGGAACTCAGCTCACACTCTAATTTCAGGGTTCAAATACTTTTATTAGTTTATCAAAATATAAAATATAGAAATACAAAAAAAAATGAAGAAAGTAAGGGAGAAAAGGGGGAAAGAGAGAAAAGTGTAGGGTTAAAGGGGAAAAAGAAAAAGCATTGATTTCCGACTCCTTTTGGTGCAGTGGAATAAGGTAGTAATATAAAACCTCAGCTTTTTACTTTTACATGATAATATATACTAGCCAATTCTATAACAACAAACCTATCAAATCAGCAAAACCCAAAATCAAAGTTTCATTCCCGCCCCCCCCACCTCAAGCACAAAGCACCTTCACTCTTTGTTAGACAGTGGAGCTGATTTTAAATTCTGCATAACCAACTCAGTGTGAGGTTGATCACTAAAAATGCTTTGCATCTGGAAGGTGGCAATGGATTTAAGGCCCCAAATTTGCTGAAGTATTCTGTCACATGGGGGAAGGGAAATAATTTTGAGGAGAATCCTTGTTTGTTGATAAAATGTCATCCATCATCTAAGAAAGGAAAGGATTTTGCAGCCAATGTCAGACAGAGATCAAGAGCATTCTTGGCTTTTATTATATTTTGAGAGAGAAAGAAGCAGGAAACAACTGGTAAACAATGAGCTTTGCTCATCGCCGGATAATTTTTCTTGGAATTTATTAGTAGAGGACTATATAAGAAAGATGCGGACGAATCTTGTTGGACACATGTACGCACATAAACAAATGAACAAATAGTCTGAGGTATGAATGTACCAGGGTGGACAACATGATGTCTATGGCAAGAATGTGCCTGCAGATCACTCTCTCGGTGCCCAATAACCTCTGTGACCTATCTGACTTTTATTTTTTAGGTTCTTTTATTATTTTTTTTAAAAAATGGGAAGTTATCAAGCATCAAACCAAAGCACAAGCCTTCAGCACTACTGGGATTCTTAGAAAAAATAATAAAAAGAGGGATGGTTGAAGTTTAGTGATTCAGGAAGGAGGAGGAGGTGTAACCATGGCAGCAATGATAAGGAATATTTGGGGTGTTAAATGAGAAGAAGGAGAGCAACCTCACAGGTCTGTCTTCTAGTAAATGGATGTCCCTAATTGGTCACATACCTCCGGCAACCACTTTATGAATGATCAAATCCTCAGTTGCTAACTTGTAATGAGAGTGCCCAGAACATTATCTCAGAATTACAAATGTTGCCATCAGCTCTTAAAAGATTTTCTATCCATGCTGTGTAGAAATAGGCATGAAACTTTCTGGTCACAGTCTGTTAGTAATACTTAAAGCACAGAATAGGATGTTTTCAGTAACCAGCCTTCTCATTGATGGATTCGTAATTATTTGCACGTGTGGCTGAAATTTACACTCCTCAAAAAAGTTTGCTGTTCAATTAAGTGTGCTTCATTGAGCACCTAGAAGTGAAGGCAAACAGCCAGAGGATTTGAAACTGGTTTGGCAGTAGTATTGGGGAAGTCTTACTTAATTATGTTTTACTTAACACTCCTTTCATTCTACATCTGCAATGGGGCAGCCATATGGATCAGGCAAAAAGGAGGTGGGGTAGGATGGGGTGGGATGGGCCAGGTCCAGGAATGCTGGTTGGGAAGGTGCTTAGACTAGCAATGTGTTGTTTTATACTCCACAGCTGCAATCAGTGCTGGGGATGCCTCCAGATTGGGGTCACAGCCAAAGCTGGGAAGAATTAACTTGGCAAAATAAGATAATGATGCCTAGGGTGGTATTGACTTCCCCAGACATGAGAGGATGTGTTATCTTTCAGGCCAGAATACAAGTTGCTATACATTGTCCTTGTCTTGCCAAGGATGGAAATCTTGTGTTCCCAAGGCAAGGGCCAATCTTTGTAGTTGGGCTGCACATTTTTGAGCACATTATTGGCCATTGACCACATAGAGCTGGATAGTGTTATCACTCTAATGAGAAAAGTAATTGTTTGCGTTTTAAAAATATCTGAGATTTGCATTTTTCAGATATCAAATATATCTGTGTTGTGCAGATTATTATATAGAGAGCTTAGCACATCTTTTAAAAAGTTTTATGCTGGAAAGACAGGAAGGAGATGTGCTAATCTTTCCCCCATCCATTCAATGTATATTTTAAGGTGTTCTTACAAAGTATGATTATTGGACATGAAATAAAATATAGTGATGGTGACAACTTGAGTTTTAAGAGGCATAATACAGTTTCCATTTCTTGGAAACTAAGGGCCTGTGGCATATTTTAGGTACCAGAAACATTTTCCCCCTTATCTGGCAAACTTATATGCCCTGAGCTGAGCCCATACAAGACACCAACCCATCTTTGTGTTGGAAAGATTTTGGAAGAATTCAGATGAGGCTATGATAGCTTTGCTGTTCAAAGCAAATAAATGGCTGTCTCATTAATCTTATTCCAACAGATCTGGCTGTTGATAGGATTTTATGATCTATGATTGTAATGAATATTCATTTTGAATGATAACTTCAAGTTCTAGTCAAAGGGTTGATGTAGTGTGGTTGCAAATCCTACCTTCCTATATTCTTGAATTGATTCCCCTTGAATGTCTCCACCTGAGTAAATCAATAAAAATTATTTCAAAGACTTCCTATTCATTGGATAAATATGCATTATTTCAGGATAAACTTCACTGCCATTACTGACTGCACTGAATATACCTGCTTGGGGAAACAGAGAAAAGCATATCAAAACGTTATATATAACAGCAACATAGTTTTACCTTATATAAGTAATCTTTCTTGGCACCCCTTGTGATTTTCCTTTCACGGTCTCTTTTTTTGCTCAGAGAATTTATGTTCAACTGCTTCTTAATAGTGATAGTAGAGATAGTAGTTGTATTAGAGCTGATAGGGATTTCAGACACATTTCCCATTATTTTCTAAGCACGTCTTGTTGCCTGGGGTAAAACAGGCTTCGCGTGAAGGGAAAAGCAGTGAGCTGGAAAGCATGAGCCGTCCTTATTTTACTTTGCTGTGAGGCTGGGATGGACCGTGTCCTGCACTTCTCTTCCAGATGGCCTTGTGGATGTGCTCCAGGCATTTGGTGTGCAGGAGGGCAAGAATGGGGTCACCATCGCTGCTGGGATCTGCACTCAGAGGAATGGATCGGAGGAAACTGACTTGGCCTTCCGCCTGGAGAATCAGACTCATTTCATCACTCCCACAAGGCAGCTCTTTCCTGGTAATGTAAAGCATAGTTAATTGAACCCCCAAAGCAGATTTCTATATGTATCTTAGGACCTCATCACTTGCATGTGTTCAAAATGATTTTTCAAAGTGCAAAAGACAGATGTGTTCTAAAACTTGTTTCCTGAAATTGCAAAAAGCTGAGGACAAACGCATGCATTGTATGTGGCCATATGGGAAACTAGGACTGGCTGAAATTACAGGGGAACCTTGTTTGAATTCTGCACTTATTCTGCACTAAATCCTTCAGGGATTCAGGACTACTAGGAATTGTGTAGAGCAGGGGTAGTCAACCTTGGCTCTTTTATGACTCGTGGACTTCAACTCCCAGAATTCCTGAGCCAGCTAAGCTGGCTCAGGAATTCTGGGAATTGAAGTCCACGAGTCATAAAAGAGCCAAGGTTGACTACCCCTGGTGTAGAGCCTCAGGTTGGTGAAAAGGGAGAGTATATTTGGGGATGGGTTAAGGTGCTTGTTGGGTTTCTGGCTCTGTTGATTTTTCAGGATGCATTATCTCCTCCTCTTACAGATGGCCACTTCCCAGTGGACTTTTCAATATTAGCCACAATGAAAGCACTCAAAGGCAGCCAATCTTTTCTGTTTTCCCTGTATGATGAACGTGGTGTACAGCAGCTTGGCGTAGAGATTGGACGTTCCCCTGTTTTCCTCTATGAAGACCAGCTGGGTTTTCCAGTGCCCGAGGACTATCCTCATTTTCACAGAGTCAACTTGGCTGATGGCAAGTGAGTTGGGATTTTGGGATAGGAAAGCAGAATAGAAGGACGCTATTTAGAAATGGTTATCTTATCACATAAATGTGGATAAGACTGAAATATTACTTAGTTTGAGTGTGATTTTTTTTAATGGGATTACTTTTGCAGTTGTCCTTAAAGGGATACATCACAGGTTCTTTGCTGTGGCAGACTGAGAAAGGTAATATTTACACACACACACACACAAACACAAACACACACAAACACACACAAGCACATCAACACTCATGATTTTAATCCCAGGATTAAAGATCCCCAAATCTCAACAATTTTGGTTTGCAAAAGCTACTTGCTGTAAAGTACAGCTTCTTAGGTACAGTTACTGTTTCTTAACTACTAAACCAAGTTAAGTCAATAGTGTCTTAGATGGTTTAATAGAACTAAAATTGTGTGATAAAGGCGTAATTCTCCCCTTCTTATATGCATCAATGTTTATCAAATTGATGTCACTGTTAAACATATTTTCTTGATGATCAAAGCACTACAAGAAAATCAAATACCACTGATACTTTTTTTTTAAAAATAAAGTTTTTTGGTGCCTGTAATATAATGCTCAGAACAGCTCTCTTATTCTGGCACCTTCTAGTTATGTTGAGCACAATTTCCTTATTCCTCAATCAGCATGAGGATTGTAGCATTACACAGCTGGAGATTATAGGTAGGGGAAATTGGGCTTGATTTATGTCAGAGCTGTTTTCAAATCCCCCACCCCACCCCAGGAATTATATTGGGTAATCTTAGCCAGTTCTTTTCTTCATCCCAGATATGGAGTAATTGTGACAATACATTAATGAAAACCTACTAAAAGTTTAAACTGGCTCCTTCTATAACTGTTATTATTTTTTCTTAGTGACCAGATTTGTAATTGACCTCAACTCTTGGTCCTGCTTTCAGCTGATATGTAAAACAGTTTATAGGAAAAAATATTATAAGCAATCATTATCTAAAACTGTCAAGTTCTACTGGGAAGAGTAAAATCTTGTGACTTTTGGTCATGAGATTTCAGCCACTTTTTAAAAGCTCTTAAATTGGAAGTGGGTTCATGTATTTTATATTGTCCCAAAGCACCACAGTGGTAATCCTTGGCTTTTCATGAAATCTAGTGATTTACATAAAGGAAAAGGGTGGAACCTGTAAAACATATTTGGCAGTTTAGGATGTTAGCAAAACTCATTGTGCTGCTAGATGAAAGTAAGATTTATCTGTGATGCTTCCAAATGGAAGGTTTATTGCACTATTAATGGAAAGGCATTCTGCAGTTATTCTCTTCCATAATATGAATGAATGAATAAATGAATGAATGAATACAGTAAGAAAGTAAGAGTTCTTGGGAGGATTACAACTGGAAGATACATTTCTTTTTGTGAATAAGGCAGAATGATTGCACAGTAATAAACTTTATCTGGATCTATCTCTGAAGTTCCCAAGCTAATGCTGCCTTTGTCCCACTAAGTTGCTTAATTCTACTGTCTTTTACCAGATGGCACCGCATTGCTCTAAGTGTGAAAGGTGAAAGTGTATCTTTGCGCATTGACTGTGAAGATGCTATAATGTTACCCCTGAAGCGAAGCAAGCAGCCAGTTGTCAGTATTGATGGGGTCACCTTGCTTGGGGCACGTCGACCAGATGAAGACATTTTTGAGGTAGGAAAAATTATTCACAAACCTCAAATCATTTCTCCCACTCTAAAGAAAATACCAATCAGTTACATTGCAGAAGCTAACTTATACATGTCTCTTTGCTGATTCCAATGATGTTAGAGTACAGATCCCCCCACCTCACCTTTTCATGCAACCACCTTAGCATGTCCTGATTCTAGGTCTTTCTCCCTCCATGCCAGTTGTGCCATTTCTTTCACTGTGCCTGGCAAGATTACAGGAGGCTGCTAGGGACCTGGAATGGACAAATTGCACCAGCATATATTTTGTAGAGCTATAAAGCCTCACAGAAGACAGATGACCTTTTCTGCTCTATCCCTGCTCTGCTGCCATGGGGAAAAGCAAATTGATTTCCAAGCATGGAAAGCCAGCGACTTGTGTACTGTGCACACTACACTAAGCGGACTTAGGGATAGCTCCATTGTTTCTGGCTCCAGACTCTATTAAATATGTTGTTACTCCCGCCAGTTATCTTAGCCAGTTGGAGTCAGCAAACCACCAGAAAGCGTTTTCGCTTGCACGGTGCCATGGGCTTCCATCAGCCATCCTGTACGACAAGTATAAAAAGATGCCATTGACTGAAAAACTCTGCTTCTGTGGCTTAGGAGAAGTGGAGACCGTTGGACACATTCTCCTTTGACACTCTTTCTATAGAAATATTCAAAAAAACCATATCCTCCCAATAATCAATAGGTATCCTGGCCGTTCTGACACTACTTATCTCCAGTGGCTGCTTAAGGATGAACAGGCTGTGATTACAGCACAGGTGGCTAGATTCTGCGCAGCAGCACTGGGGATTCATCAGAAACATAAAAAAGATAAATATTATTTTTAGATCTTTTTAATATTTTTTATTTTAAAATTAATTTTATTACATGCATTCTTATTCATCATTAGATCATCGCTCGGTGCATTTTTATATACGTATGTGTGTAAATCGCCTACAATTGGATATTTTACTGTTTCTGGCCATCTGGCTGTAATAAACTGATTTGATTTGTGTACTCTGTCATTTTCCCTTTGCTTCCTTCCCTCTTTGGCACTTGCTGCCTGCGTGGTTGAGAATGCTCGGCAGTCTGACTTTGTATGCTTATACTGAATTGGCTGATTTATGTTGGAGGCCTTTCTTATCGAAGTAGTCCCCACTTTGTGGCAGGTGTGGTCAGCAGACATGGGAATTGTTGGGAAGGGGCCGTCCAAAATGACAGGGCTGAGATTTGGGATCCATTCATTTTTGGGAGTTTTTTTGTGGTAAGAAGATGAGCGCATCGATAACATATACCATAGATAATAGTTGAACTCATGTTTAACTCCCCAAGGAATGTTGGAAGGCTTTCAGTTAAGTGTCTGTGAAGGAGGGGAATCTTGACAGTTTGGATGAAAGGCTGAGTGATAATTAGAAAGAAATCACAGAAGATGGAAAACCTACAGAACAGAACTCGAAAGACTATATTGCTAATGAAAGAGAGTCAAGAAACAGAAACCAAAAAAAGATAGAAGAAGAAAAAGACAGAGAGGATTCTGTATGCCACTAGCATTCCAGAATAGGCATACTCTCCTTTTAAATGGGAGACTTTTCAGGAAGACAATTTAGGGATTTCTCATTTACAAAGGACACCATTAGTTTCAATAGCCTCGAAAGCAGAGAAAGGCCTCATTTCCTCCCCCCCCCAGTGCATTCTTTCTCCGGGCATAAAATGTCAGAGGGCACAAGATTTTTGAAGGCGTCTAGGCTGTTGGCTTGGGGGTGGCCAAGAACAAGCATTTCTTGTAATGCTTGGAAAACCTTGGCTTAGTGCCATGCTGCCTCTGGTAATTTGGGCAGTGACTGAGGGAATGCCTAGAAATGTCAGCTTAGCAGTGGGTGGCTGCTGAGGGGCAACTCCCTTTTGTAATGAAGATGGTGGAAGGGATCTCTGCGGTTGAGTTAGAGACAGGTGGAGTGGAATCCAGAGGAATGTTCCCAAACTGGGCTATATGTTTTTTTTTTCCATAGAGCTTCTCTGTTTTGTAATCTTCTCTTTTACATCGAGCAAAAAAACATGCATTCAAAAGAATTGGGAAGCAGTGGATGTGGGATTCAAGATGAAACAGTTTTTGCAGGAAGAACGGAATAGTTTTACAAATTATTATTGTTATAATTAGGTGACAGGGCCTTGTGAAGCTCTCTTCCATTCTTCTAGGTCTGTGAAATCTCTGTGTATGCTGCAGTCATGTTCATTGTGGCATGCGGTAAAGTATAAACTTAAATGTGTGAAGGACATTTCTGTAAATAATCAACAGACACATGCATTCAGTCCTTTGAAACTCTTCAGTATGTTCATTGCATATTAATGGATTCACATCTACTTTTCTCTCCCCCGGGTCCTGTTGTGTTGCCTCATCATGGTGAGATGAAGGGTCTTTCTGAAAAGGAGGAGCAAAGAACTCCAGAGTCCTTGCCAAGTAGAGTCACTCAAGTCATAAAGGCCATCCCAGCTGCCCAGCTAAAGCAAGTGGGCGTCTATATTGGGCAGCAACAATATAGGAAGATGTTGTAGAGATGATCACCTTTGTGACAATTTCAAAGGCATCATTTCAAAATAAATGGGTGAAAGTAATGGTAAAACTTTTTTTTATCAAGAAAACCACCTGGACAAACCATACATGCCTAGGAAAACAGGAATCCTAGAGTATCTCATTTGCTCTTACGCAAGACCTTTACACGAACCAGGAAGTTATAGTGTGGATAGAACATGGCAAAGCATAGTGGCTCCTGGCTGGCAAAGGAGTGCAACAGGACTGCATACGCTCCTGTTATTTATTCAGCTGATATGCTGAATATATGTTGATGGAAGCTGGACCGGAAAATGATGACGGTGATTTTAAAACTGGAGGAAGAAATACCAGAAACCCACACCCTCTTGACGGCATGACTCTTAACAGCTGAAAATAACAGAAGATTTAAAAGTTCTAATGATGAAAATTAAGAAACATACTTACAAGAATGGGACACAGATTGTCGCCCACTTCAAAATGTTGGATGTGATTCAGAAGAAATAATGAATGCTAATATTGGAAACAACTAAGAGATCAAGCAGGAGTAGGAAGGATGCAATACCCCTATCCTGGTCCTGCCAGACATCACCGGTGTCATATGCATGTTGAATGCAGGGTTGAAGCCAGACTGAAACAGGTTCAGATAATCTACTTCCACCAGGGTCCTCGGCAGTTGCTGCCCAACCACTTTTTCTATGCAAGGAGTGTATGAATGCTTGATGTCCTCAGGGACCAACATAACGAATCCAGCCATGAGTATACTGTAATGTTTAAAGGAATAAAGGCAAGCTCTGAACCACGTTGTTTGCCTGACTACCACGTGCAGCTGTTATTTATATATCAACTGATTCTTCAGTGTTTGGTTTTCTTGCATGTGTATATAGTTGGAATTTCAGTTTGGGTTCATTTGGGTGCATATATGCTTCTCTGTGTTTATTTTTGAATTGTGGGAATGTTGACATTTTCCCAATACTGGCTGCTTTGCTCCTTCCCCTGTGACTTCCTTTTTTTAACCACAGGGCTTCTTTGCCTTGATCTAGCCTTCCCTGTCCCTACCTGACCCCATCTCTTGGTCCATGACTCACTGTAGTCCCCTTTCCGTCTTGCTTCTTAATTTCTCTTCCTTTCCATCACCTCAAGAATGCTGGGAGCAGATTAATTGTGGGTCCCAGCTGAGCAGGTGGGAGCAGCAGTTTTGTGAGCTCTTCTGGAAGTAGGCCTACTGGCCATACTTTAGGAGATGATTAATTGGGAGCAAATGTTCTCCATACACCAGGACTGCTAGGGTCACACTGGTTGAGCAAGAAGAGCTGGGGCATGTTCAGCTGCATAAGAGAATGTGTTTGTGTGCACATGCAGTCATAAAAATTTAATATAGCTATTGTTGGCATTCTGATTCTGAGCTATAAAAAGAGGGAGAGGACAGAAAAGATTGAGCGGACATTCTTTGTTATACTAACTGTGGTTAATATACAAATATCCCAAGTTTTTGAAGTGCACAGAGTTATTTGCAAACTTCATAACTGGCAGAATGTGTGTGTGTGTGTGTGTGTTTGGCTTTCTTGAGCAAGGTTAAAAGACCACCAGATTTAGAGTGACTAATAGATCAGCTGGTTTGTTCCACTCATATTAAATCAAGTAAGGAGTGAGGGGAGGTATACACACAGTGGAATGAGAGTTAGATACATCCAGAGCCATAGTTAAATTGATTTGGATATATGAGGCAATTTAAAACTTAGCAACTGAGTATCAGTCAGGGCCAGACTGAACCACAGCAATGAGGTTTACCCAGTTTTAAGCAAAGGGTTGTAATAACCTTGGGAAACAGGAGGAAGAACAGTAGCCAGGGCAATGGTCAGATGAGAAGTATCTCACCCCTCATCAGGAAGGCAGTTGGAGAAAATATAACAGAAGGAACTCTAATTAGTTCTTCGGAAATTAAAGGCAAGGGAAAAAAAAAGTGATTTGAGCCTCGCAAGACTGGTGTCAGTCCTTTGAGGTAGTCCAGAAAGGAAACCAAACCATGAGTACTAATATTACCGTACTTTTACTGTAAGATTATAGCATGCTACTACATTTCTCCCCTCCTCTGCCTTTACTTCCCAGAGAATTAGGGAGGATCCCTTCTGAGATGCTTTCTCCACCCCTTTCTTTCTGTGGGCTGAGATATCTCTTGTCTGACCGTTGCCCTGGCTGTGGCTCTTCCTTTTGTCTCCCAGGGTTATTCTCACAGTCCATTAAATTGGTAGAGGATGGCTAAATGGTTTAGCTCTGGATAATGGCAGTCTGGGTTAATATTCTGTAAGTGTCAACAACTAAAATGTGTAATTTTTTTAGATGTATAATCTCACTTCTTTAGAGTTGTGGTTAAGAGTGTAAAATATACTATACTTGAACTTTTCTACACAATAAGGTCTTGGATTTGCAAGCATATCATATGTTCATAAAAAGATTCTGAATGGTTGTACTGTGCTTCTTCCTCTTCAGGGAGATCTCCAACAATTACTGCTTGTGCCAGACCCAGCAGCTGCTGCCCAATATTGCCAGGATTACATGCCTGATTGCGACAGACAACTCATCTACAAATTGCAGACTCAGGATGCAGAAGAGGTAGGTAGACAACCAAAAGGCAGGAGCTGCTAATAGCCAGGTTCCTGGCCATGACCCCTAGGAAAATCCTCTGTGCCAAATTCCCTGCAGACACCCAAAGAAAGACATTTGCTTGTGAGAATGAAACTAACACCCGGATGATGAGCACTATGGAGTCCCTGCTCTCTGTTCTTAAATAGTAAAAGTTTCTCTTTCTCCATGTTACTCTAAATAACTATGGGTAGAGATATCATTAATATGCTGATGATACTCAAGCTTACATTTCCATATCTGGTGACTTGAGTGATGCTGTTCCAACCGTGTCATGATGCCTGGAGGCTATAGGGGCCGGGATGCGGGATAGGGGGCTACAACTGAACCCAGGAAAGACTAAGTGGCTTTGGGTGCATGGAACTTCAAGATCAGGGTCTTTGACATCTTTGAGGTTGTGCTACCCAATTCAAACCCAATCGGCAACTCAGAGGTTCTCCTGGACTTGCAGTTACTGCTTAAAGAACAGGGGTGGTTGTGACTAGGAGAGCCTTTGTACAGCTTCGGTTTGTGTACCAGCTGCAGCCTTTCCTGGATCAGGACTCAAGCCCTGGTCATCGCTTGTCTGGATTATGGCAATATGATTTATATGGGGCCACCCTTGAAATGCATTCAGAAGTTTCAACCCACAAGCAGTCTTTGGGGCCTGTAAAATGACCCATGTTACACCACTACTTTGCAAGCTGCACTGGCTGCCAGTTTGCTTCTGGGTGCAGTTCAAGGTATTCGTTATGACCTTTAAAGTCCTTCATGACATGGGCCCAGATTGCTTGATGAACTGTCTCATCCTGCTAAGAAAAGCTTGCCGTAATCCTACCAGCAGATGGGATCCAGGAGAAGAGCCTTCCCTGATGTAGTGCTATCCCTCTGGAACATCCTTCCATTTGGGGTGAGGTTTTCCCTCATCTTTTAGCCTTCTATAAGGGCCTGAAGAACTGGCTCTGCTGGTTGGCCTGGGGACCCAGTAGGGGACTACATCACTGGAGGTGGCTACTGGGCTAATTAGTGGACCCCCACCTCCTCCCTGTGCTCCTGCTCTGTATCCACCCTTCTTTTTAATTCCATATTATTGTACTTCCATTGTTTATTTTTAAGGGTTTCATTCCTTGGCTATTGTTATGTTTACATTTTTAATCATTTTTTTTTCTGTTTTATTGTCGTAAGCAGCCCAACATAGTCCCACGGTGAGACGGGCAGCAAATAATTTTAACAAACAAACAAATAAATAAATAAATGGATCTCTCTCCCCTTCTAAGGATTTGATAAAGATTTTAGAACTTTATACTAGGCAGGTATACTTTTCCTGTTCAGTAGTTTATGATCATTATAGGCAGTGCTTTTTTTCTAAAAAAAAAAAAAAAGGTGCCGGAACTCACACACGTCATACAACCCGCCTTGCCTACCCTACAAGGTTCCATCCAAAAAAGGTGCTGGAACTCCGTTCTGGGCGTTCTATGAGAAAAAAAGCCCTGGTTATAGGAGGAGAGCTGGGTTAATCTATGGTGGAGAAAAAAAATTAGGAATCTGGTAGTATCTTTTCCCATTAAAATTTGTATTAAAAGGCATACTGTAGTTTTTTTGTGAAACGCAGCTCACCATCAGATGCATCTGAGGAAGTAAGCTGCTTCTCATGACAGTTTATGCCTTTTGATAATTTTTCATTGGTTAACTCCTCCTGATTTTTTTTAAGAATCTTCTTAGGGTGAATAGGGCTGAACCTGATATTTGACAGTGCTGATTTAGTAAAATCAAGAAGTAACAAACGGGAGTGAGAGAATTTCAGGGGCATTAAACCACCTGGGAAAATCCTTACAAAAGAATATAAATGCCCCTCTACAGACCATCGGCCTTACATTTTTATAGATATCCATCTTCTCCTCACTCAAGTTTTTGCCAATTGCAGTCCTCCTATAGCTATTTTAAACACGCGTTTTCCAATTTCCTTGGGGAAGGATGGTTAAAAAAGTGGCTTGCTGGAAAAAAATGAAAGTTTTGTCTATTTGTCAGGTCTTGTCCCTGCCTTTAAGAAATTTGGGCCTGTTGAATGTGGCTTCCTCAGAAGTACATAATCACAGCATCTACATGATGATGTCATCACATATTTGCCATCATTTTAGTGTTGTCATTGTTTGCTGTCTCTGGAACTTTTTCACTGTAAGCAGTAGTAATCTGGTAGATGGTGGAAATGCCGAGACACCATCCTACGCTGCTTTAGCTGTATCCTTTCCACTATTTGTGGAAATCTTTGCACCTCTTTTATATCCATAAAGTGATCTGCCCCGGGGACTTATCTCCTAAAGGTAAGGCTCATAAGTAACTCAAATTACTTCCCCTTGGGCTTCCTGGGAATGGTCCTTTAGGTGCCTTAGATGACTAGTCCACAGATAAAAAGAAAGAAGGATTGCTTCCTAGAACACTGAGAAGGATAGAATCAGGGCAATTTCTGAGCACATGGATAAAAAGAAATAGATTACATTCTTACTATCCCAAACCTGTCTTCTCCAGAAAGTCGTATTGAATCACAAATAAATCTGTTGTGTGATGGTCTTTCCTCTGTGTTCTCCAAGGTGTTGATGCCATGTTCATGTCTGTCTCTTGTGAATGGTTTCCTGGTAGCTGAGCCTGGATGTATGGGTGGTGACTTTTGGTGTTCTAAGGAAATGGGGAAGTATTTTTTTTTCTTTCTCAAGTGCCTGTTCTCTCTCTTTTTCTCTTTCCCTCCCCTCCCCTTTCTCTCCCCTTTTCTATCCTATCTGCCCCCTCCCCCTCCTTTGTGCAGAACATTCCACAGAGGAAGGGCAAGAAGGGCAGAGGCAGAGGCAAAGGAAAGGGCAAGGGCAGGAAGAAAGGTAGAGGCAAGAAGAAGAGAAACAAAGAGTCCCTCGAGAAGTCCTCGCTCATTCCAGCCTCAGGCGAGGTAGAGAGTGCAACTAACTGCTCTCTGCTGATCTAATAACTTCTGGTTCCTGCCAGCCTAACCCACTGCCCCCTAACATGCCTAACCCATCTAATTAGCAGCTTCCTCTTGCTCTATCATCAGTGGTTCTTCAGGCAGAACTGCTCCCAGAGTACCTGGCCTTTCTGCCCTTATGGCTGCCCATTGACTGCCTTGCATGAGGGCTGATGGTGCCATATGCAATAGCCTCTGGCTAGGGAGCTCAAGGACTCCACTTCCGTTAGTCCTGATTGGCTGCAAAGTCCCAAACGCAGGTGAGTTTTAACGCCTGAAGACATGTTCTTCTCCATCAAGTGCCAGGCCAATCCATTTTCAAATTTCCTTCTGATGTTCAGTCAAAATCAAGGGAGCGCATGATCAGTCCAGGAAGAGGGTGAAAGAGGAATTTCTATGTGGATGGGCAGCTGAAGGAATTCATGATATGTCTCAGGAAAATATCTGTATATAGACTTTTACTGGTTCCTTTTTGGTACTATGGCATCAGCCTCTGATAGCCTCTGACAGCCAGATGTTGTTCTAATGGGGCCAAACCCTCTTTTGGGAACTCATGGATCTTTGCACTTTGGACCATTATAAACAATGCATTAGCTTTAGGAACTATTTAGATCCTAGTGCTAAGCAGTTGGAGGAGGAAATATTTTAGAAGCACTACCAGAATGATAATAAAGGTAGTCCTCATTTATCGACCACAGTTGGAAATACCTGTATTAACGCCATCTTTTGGAAATGGCTTATAATTAAAATACCACAGGGTTCCTTAGCTACCATATGCAGGGTTTATTTTCTTTGAATAAAAAGCTGAGATAACAGCTATTGATCTGGACCACTAAGTGACTTTTCAAAAAATGACATTGTAAATATATGCCTCAACATCATCAAAGCACTTCCATCACCTTATCAGAATATGGCCACTCTGAGAACTCAAACCAGGGCAAATTGAAACATGATATAGTGGAATGTAAGAGTTAAAAGGGATCTTGGAGATCATTTATTCGAATCCTCTTTACTGCACATCTCCGGCAGATGTCCATATAGTCTCTGTGTATACACTTCCAATAAAGAAGAGTCTACCATCTTCTGAGGCATGGAATAGCTTATGTCTTAGAAAAATTGTGCAAATGAAATAATTTAAATCCACTGTTACATATTACCATTTTCTGCAACAGTTCTAAATAGTTCCACTCCATCTTCTATGTGACAGCCCTTCAGATACATGAAGTCAGCTATCATGTCTCCCTGAAGTCTTCTGGCCTCCAGGCTAAATAAATTCAAGTGCTCTTCATAATTTTTTCCCTTCCAGGTCTTTAATCATTTTTGCTGCTCTCCTTCGGATACACTCCATTTCTCAATCTTCTTCTCAAAATGTGGTGCCCAGAGCTAAAAAATTTCTAGGCACTGCATAGCCAATGTAGGGTTCAGGGAAACAATAACATGCACAAAAAATAGGTGCATACAAATGTACTCTTTTAATGTATATAAGTTGTACTTATCTTTCCTATTCAAAATTCTTGTAAATGATTTTTTAAATTGCAAATTGCCTACATTTTTCAGAAAATGGCTTTCTATGTTAGGACATTAATAATGCTCTATCAGTAATAGGTCCTAGTTTGGGTCTGCCATGGAAACTACAAATATGACATTGGAAGGTATTGTAGCTTGAAGAGGTTAATTCAGGAAAAACTGTTACTGATTAACCAGCAGTCTCTTCCACAAAAATAGTTGGATCCAGTTTGCTTTCCTGGTGATAATCTCTCCTTTTGCCCATTTTATTCTCTATTTTTCATGTTCCTGCCCCTGTTTTCTCTTCTCTGATGATTTTGAAAACAAAATAGCAAAAGTTCTATATGCTTTGCAGTTCAGGCAGCATAGACGATCTCTCCCCACCCCACTCTATTTGGAATATTAAGGAGCAGTATGTTGCAAAGATACTGTGAAGATTTGAGTAAAGATGTTACTTAATCACAAGCTGCTTAAACTTGCTGGTTAAACCTGAAGAAGATCAACTGTATGCTTTTAAATAAAGTCCTAAAGGTTGTTAGGAGACTCTCCTAACTTGCTGCTGGCATTATCTATGCAGTGAAAAGGGATGTTAAAAATGGTACTAAATAGCTTGCAGCTACTGTATAATAACAGCTTCGGACTCAACCATTATTTTTGGTTATGTATCTAAACTGATTATAAGTTGTAGGTTTGCGGCAGTCGAATACTATGCACACTTTTGTTTAATTTTGCTGGTGCAGACAGGCTTAGTAGTTTAGGAGATTTGTAATTTTATAATAGAATCTGGACATTATCTTAAGAGTTTTAATGGAATTTCCTCTGTGATTGTTGATCCTTTTATTCTGATTGTTTTAGCTTATGATCAAACAAATATATTTGCATTTTGTTTTCCTCTTGTCTTCCTCTAATGATCTTTTTATGTCAGGGAAGCATCCCCAAATGTGTGAAATACAGGAAAGGGGATGCTGAGCTCATCCTGCCAGTGAATCATTCTTGCCTTGGCCAAGTGAAACCTTTTCCCCGCCAAATGGAGCAGCTGGCAGAGTTCCTTTTTCTAGAATCAAAATTACAGCTGTTTGACTGTTTAGTATTGGCAACAACAAAGCATTTCTTTTTTCCTTTTCTAATCTCTTCTCAGGAAGACTTTGCCACCCACTTGTTCTTTTCTCTCTCTCTCCTATTGTAGGCACACTTCATTTCATCTAATTCTGCAAACACTTGGCTAGCAATAAAGTTCGGGTCTGCTATGCGTTCGATCAGGTAGACAGTCGTAGCATCCCTTTTATACAGATCCCTGTTGTACATAAGTGAGATTGCAGTCCACAAAGTTAATTCTTTGGTTAGTTTTTTTTTGGCTTAGTTCATTTTTCAAATCATGCCTTACTGCATCCTGAGATATCTTTGCAATGCTACAAGATCTAGAAGAATTTATTAGACTGATTTGCCTTCTCAAAAGTAACTCCCTCAGGATGAGAAGTTGTCCATGGAGATTTAGGAGCAAAGTTGAGGAGGTGGCCTTTTCTGCAGTCTTGGGAGTCTATAAAGAAGCTACCGTATTCCAGTAGTAAGTAGAAGACAGAGTTACTAATACACATTTGTGTGTACATGCACACATGCACACGTACACACACAAGCTATTGCTAAAGAAACTATATGATAGCTTTGATGTAAACATCGGGATTTCAACTTTGCCTGAGGGCATCTTCAGGCAAAGTTGGCAGTAGTTTTGAAAGCAATTTGTCATTGCCTTCTTCCTGCATCCAGGTTAAATCTTGATTCAAATATTAACTAAGCCTTGCCTTGCTTAGCTTTGTAGTCCTTGACAAGTTCATCCAGATTCAGATCCCACTTTGGGATATACTTGAGATTAAACTGAAGAACTTCACTGCATTCAAGAACATATGGAAAGATTTCTTGTGAGAGGAAATACATGACCACTTTGGATCCGTTGTCTTTGCACCTTTCCTGCCTCCTGCAGTCTATTGGAATCATTAGAGTACAGGTAGTCCTTGACTTACGACCACAATTGAGCCCAAAATTTCTATTGCTAAGCGAGATAGTTGTTAAGTGAATTTTCTTTACAACTTTTTCAACTTTTCAGCTTTTAAGTGGATTTTACAACTTTTCTGGCCGCAGTAAACCATTGCAGTGGTTAAGTTAGTAACACGGTTGTTAAGTGAATTTTGCTTCCTCATTGACTTTGCTTGTCAGAAGGTCTCAAAAGATGATCACATGACCCCTCCGGGACACTGCAATGGTCATAAATGTGAGTCAGTTGCCAGGCGTCAGAATTGTGATCACGCGACCCTGGGGATGCTGCAACGGTTGTAAGTGTGAAAAACAATCATAAGTTACTTTTTTTTAGTGCCGTTGTAACTTCAAATGGTTACTAAATGAACTGTTGTAAGTTGAGGACTATCTGTAGTTAAAAGGATTATGTGATTTCCTGAGATAGCATCTCTTTCCCCAGTAACTTTGAGTTTCAAAATTGGCAATGCACAAACCTTATTTCTTTCTTAGGATCGAGTGGTGTTCCTTCTGTAGTTACATATATTCATCAAACCTTTTTTTTCTTCTAAGTCCCAATTTAGGGGAACTTTCCCTATGTGTAGAGATCACATGCAATAAGAAAATAATTCTTTTCCCAGGATGCTATTTTGTCTTGCCTCAGGATCTGCTGGGTGTTCCTGGGAAGATAACACTTGGGATACATAAATTGGACGTAGTCTTTAAATGAATGGCGATGAGCTCACATAGAAATCAGAAAATAACAGTGCAGCACAGACCAAAATTCACTGGCCTTCAGGCACATCAATCCTAGAAAATGACATATCCAGCACATAGATGTCCAACAACCCACACAGTTTACTCATATATTGTTGATGGGCTGGGGCAAATTGGCAGAAGAAACTCTATTCCTCATATGGATTTTGCAGTCTCTTTACAGATTTCCAGATAAATGAATGGCACCAAATGTGAATTTTCATACCAGGTGTTCTGAGTTTCGTAAGTCTCAAGAGTGAAAGACTGTACTTAATGTGCTTGAAAGCTCAGCTGCATTTCTGCCTCTTTCCCAATATGGCATAGCCTCTGATCCACTAGAGCTTTTGCCCTTTCTTACCAAAGTCCACTCCTAGATCCGCTAGCAAAGATGGTTTAAGTAGTAGGTGCTGCCAAATGTATTTCAGTGTTTAAACCCTCGGGGAACTTTACAGAAATGATGCCAGGGGATTTGACACTGAAAGATTAATCTTTTATAATAAGTTCCAAAAACATCTCCTAGGCATGGAGCTATGAAAGACTGTTTCTGCTCTAACCTCAAGGTACTAGATTTTATTGGCCTGAATTTCTCTTACATCATGACCACTTTAGTTGGCTTTTGGCTGCTGGCATATTTCTAACCCCTAAAGAATTTGTACAAAATCTATGTGCGCATTGCTAAATGTCTGTTGCCAAATAAGTTATATAGATTTCTTTAACATCTTATGTCTCTCCACCACCCTCAAGAATGAGACTCCAACTGATACTAGTCCGACGAAGGCAGCTACTGAGTTCTGGGAAAAGGTTCCTGATGCAGAGGTTGGCATCCTCACTTCTACCACTATGACAGCCAACCTCAACCTTACAGACAATTACCAGGTAAGACAGACATTGTTTCCAAGGCCTTGGGGGTACTCCTTCATTCTCAGAGTTTAAAGAAAGCAGGGAAAGGGTGAAATGTGGTTTGGATAGATATAAAAATAGGAAAGACTAGGTGCAATACTTGGTTTGTACTGAAAACTCTGTTTTGGTTTTGGAGCCTGCTAAGGCCCAACTCCAAAATGTAGTGAACAGGCCTGGAAACAGCTGAAGTTAATTTCATTGAAATTTACTTCCCAGTCATGTATTTAATAATTTAATTCATATGCTTCACTGAAAGTATAACTTGGAATCAAATTTTGAAGGTCTTTAGAGGCTGCTTTGAGGGCCACATGAAGCTCTGGGGACTCTGTTAATTCATCTGTGGTCCGTGGTATGCCAAAATTCATGAATCTTGTAAAGACTTTAAGGCCACAAGATGTCTTCAGACCATGCATATGGTCCCACTTTCCTAGGACTTCTATCACTTCAAAATGCAGAAACCAGAATAACATGTCTAAAGAATCTCTGTTACCAATTCTACCTTTAGATACAAAGCTGTAGTCTACTCAGATCAGGGAAGGATTTGGATTTGGACCAAGTCCCTACCTATTGTCCTCCCAAGCTACTGTCTATAGCAGTATGTTGTGCAATGTCTTGTTTGTTCTGGCAGCTGTTCACAATAGCTAAGAGTTTAGCATTTGCAAAAGGATTGCCTTCTCTAGCACCTTCCTTTTCAGAGTCCTCATACAAGGCACCATGATGGACAGAGAGCCATTCTCAAGAGCTGCCCCAACTTCTTCAATATTTTGCTTTGAATACTAATTGGAGAAAAGCATCGGGGACTGCAAGTTCTTCAGAATAGTTGCTGTCCCTGAAGAATGCCTAGAGCAGGGGTGTCAAACTCGCAATGTCATGTGACGTGTTACGACATATCGTGACTTTTTTTCCATTGCCGGCAATGGGGTGGGCGCGATTTTGCTCTGATGCATCCAGCCCGCGGGCCGGCAGTTTGACATCCCTGGCCTAGAGTAAAACTTACAACAGTCTGCCATACCAAAAACCTGCACCCATCCTGGAACCTGATTAGTGTGGCTCTTTGGGGCACTCATTGGGACCAATAGCGGACTTTAATGGGAGAAATGGTCAAGAAGGGAGAACAGCAGTCAGTGAAGGATGGCGCTAGCACAATGTATAAAGAAGGCAATTGGGATAAGAGGCTGGTGTTTCTGAGACATCCAAAATCTTTCTATTTTTACTTTACTTTGGTTGCAGGACAGAGAAGCATCTTCTTTTGAATGTAAATTGAGGATGTTTATGGCTTTGACCTTATCTAGTAATGGATTGTAGTCTGAAGAAAGTTATCCATGATCAGAAGTTACCCTAAAACTATTCTAACCAATCCTGTTACAGCCAATATATTTATGTATTTTATATGTGGTCATATTTTGACTTTTGGGTGTGTTCAGTTGTATCCACTCCTAATAAGAGGTACCATAGTCCCAGAGAAACTATGGCACATATTATTTTTTTTGCCTAACATTACAATTGTTTTCATTAAAATCTTGGAGATGGAAGCTATTTGTTTCCAGCCACCCAAGATGTATGCTGAGCAAAATTGTACCTGGGATTCCTACATCATGCTCTAATTAAAGTTCAGTGACATCAGTCTCAGGTTCTCCACCCCTCATATAGTTTCAATTCTAACCTTTTCATTAAAATTCTCAAAAGAGTGTATAATAACCCTTGTCGGATTGTTGAAAATGCTGAATGGAAGGTACTTTCAGGACCTCACTGTTGAAAGAATAACTGGACATACTCTAATCTCAGTAGGGGTTGCACATAACTAGTAGCAATTTGGTGATTAAATTACTGCTGGGAAAATCCAACTGTATGCTGCAGTAATTTCCCATGGGATAATTGTAAGAAATAATGTTGACATTTCTAGGGTACAGTGTAAGTATTACTGTCTGGGACAGAAATCATTCAGCTGCCTTTTCCCTCTCAGTGTGTGGCAAAAATGAAGAAGTAAAACAGTAATTTAATTCTTATGCATTGGAAGTGTAAATCTAGTTTAGGATAGAACAGAAGTGGGAGGGTAATAGTCTGGGATCTACTGGTAGATCTTTATATGATTTGAATTTAAGACATTGAACTTCCATTTGTTTATCTACACTTCTTCAGAATTATGGAATCTACTCCTTAAGATTTACCTTCATTCTCTGTTTGGGAGAGACCTTACTAGGCTTTTAAAATTGGATTAAGATTTTAGGTATGATCTGGATTGTGGCTTAAATAATTTGAGGAATTATTCTAAAATACACAGTATGGCTGAAATGATGAAAATGGGAAGAGAGTAAGACTTGGATTCATTTCTGGGATACAAAGAAAATCTCAAGTTGCTTTAATTAATTAAAGCTACTTTGATTCTATGTATATATATTCTTGTTTCAGTTGGTGGATCTTGAGGTTCTGGTAAACGAAGTAGAACAACGATAAAGGAAATGATATAAAATAGAAACAAAATTCCCCAAAGTCTAAACCTTGCTGTTATCTCTTAAAAATTGAAACGGGAATAAATTACTACTTCCCTCATAACATTACTGTCATGCAAATCCATAGCTTTTTCAGTTGTCCTCCAACTGTTTAATACCTAGCTTTGTCAGGGGAAGAAAATCCACTGGATTGAACCTTTGGTTCATGTTCCCCACCCCTCCTAATCAGAAGCTACATATAACCATTTCCATAATTTATTAGATCCAGTCATAATGGAAACCAGACATATATGTATACATATGAAAAACCAAAAGTCTGTTGATATGTTCAGGACAGGAACATGCATATTAAAGGCTGCGGCCCACACAAAATCATTACCTAAATTCTAGAACAGGGGTAATCAACCTTGGCTCTTTTATGACTCGTGGACTTCAACTCCCAGAATTCCTGAGCTGGCTCAGGAATTCTGGGAGTTGAAGTCCACGAGTCATAAAAGAGCCAAGGTTGACTACCCCTGTTCTAGAATATGCATATCTGCAGGCCCAAACAGGATTCAGTGAACAAAGTTTCTTTTCTTTTAAAGGAAAACAGAATGTAATGGTAGGGGAGAAAGAGTCACCTACAGGAAGAGGCTAATAGTGTGAAAAGTAATTGTCGCTGAATACATCTGCTGTACTTCATATCCCCTTTTCTAATCCCAACAGGACCTTCTTGGAGAAGAGTATTTAATCAATGAGAATACAGAATTGAATGCCAGTGTCACTTACAGAGCATTTGACGAGAGACTTGACAATAAAGATTACGAGGACTACTATGACCAACGAGGGGCCAGTGAAGCAGAGCGGTATGATCCAGCTGAGCACATTGAAGCCACCATCCTATTTCCCGAGGTAGCAACTTTACAAACATTTCTCTAAGCAATGAGTAACAATCTGAGCACTGCAGAAAATAATCTCATTTCATTCAAATAATGCATTCCTTATTTGGAATCGAGCTCAATTTTACTCAGTGGTGCTTGTTTTTGATTGTATAAGTTCAAAAACATAACTGAGGTTTAACCAGCTGGAACGCAAGTATTACAATTCTAATTAAAAGATAATCTTGCAAAGGAGAGATACCATTTAAACACTTTAAACTTTAGAATAAGGGAGGAAAGGACCTATCTCACTTGTATTAAAAATACTGATTGTACAGTCTCTTGAAAATAACAGTAAAATCTGAGAACAAACTTAACGCTCTTCTCATTGCCAAGGCAAAGAGAATCTTATCAATGAGGCTGGCATTCCTGGACATAAATTGCTCCTGATTTGCACTCCCTCATAAGCTCCTACTGTTGCTTCATTGTTAGGCCATGACCCTCAGCTGCACTGATTGTTGAGGGTCAAGACCCAAAGTCTCATCTGAAATCCATGAGAAGATGGAATAGCAAAAGGTGGTAGTTCACCAACAGAGCTACAATGTCTTTATAATCTGCCTCTCATTTAACCCATCTGCGTAACCATGCTGTCTTGCCCCCTCCTCACTCCAGTTTAAATCCTACAGCAGTCTAGCCAGTCTGTGCATCTGATGAAGTGAGATGCAACTTATGAGCTGAGCCCATTAAAGAAGCTGAATCTACTTTCAGTCATGCTTCCAACTGCACATCAGGCTGGGTTTGTTAATCCCCTATATATACACTTACAACCACAATCTCTCTTTATATTAAAAAAGTCACAAATATATTTTAATGAGTAGAATGAAGATGAGGAGGCGTGTTAGTGCCCAAGACATATTTTCAGTTGTCTCTCACGTCCAGGATGCTCCAAACATGCCAAACTATTTCCCATGGAACCTACTTATTTTAAAAAGAGAATGCTATGTGTTTAAAGAGAAGAAATTCTGGCTCTGCTGCTGCTTAGAAGGATATGCCTGTCTCCACCTAAATATTTGCCAAGAGTGCCCTATTTTTGTTTGGAACCTAGGAGCACTGAAACTTGTATGACATTAATCAAAAATATGTATGAATGTCTTGTTGCCCCTATGCCTCACCCACTCTTTTCCCAATGGCTAATTGCCACCAGGCTGGGATGGAAAGTTGGCATTTAAACCAAGTTTGACTTGCCCTCTCTTCTGAGTCTTCTGACTCAGTCCAGAATCCACTGTGCATCACATATTCCCAGGGTGCATTATTTCTCATGGCAAGGATTTCAGTTCCATCTTTTGGACTAAGAAATTGCTTTTGAGCAACATCAAGAATTTCTGTCAAGTCAAACATAACTTTCAGCACTTAGATGGCTATGAAGAAAGAAAACATGTTTGCTGCTGCCTTCTTCTTGGATTCTGGGGGCGGGGACTTTCCAGCCCAGCCAATAGCCCTGATAATTCCTATTGGTACTAATCACATCCAGCCTGGCTCAGCTTCTTAAGATCCGTCAAAATTGCCTCTGTGCTGCCACCTAGTTCAGATCAAAACATGGAAACATTGTAAATTAAAACACAATAAATATTGTTTTTAAAAAATCCAGTCTTCTAGGATCTTTTTGCTCAGGGCTGTTAGTGATAAAAGAAAACACAGTAAGATTTAATTCATAGGTGCTCAGGACTCAGATGAGGGGATTTTAATTAATTTTATTCCTTTGTTTGATTTGATGCTATTTTGCCTTTGGTCTCTTGCCCTATGCCTTTGGAGTTGGGTTTGCTCCAATGACCAACTCATGGAAACTCAGTTCTTGAACTTGTTTCCAATGTCTGGAGATATTAAGCCATTTATTTGCTCCTATTTCACTCACCATGCATTAAGTCTGGAGAAGTGTGGGATAGCTCCCTTTACAGGAGAGGTCACTGGAGATCACATTCTATCTAAGCAACAGCTAGCCCTCAGTGCCAGTTCTCACAGTCAGTCAACTTAGAAAAATCCCACACTTCCTTCCAACAACTCACATAGTCCAGAATCAAATCCACCTTCATTTTAAGGTACAGTAACTTGTTTCTGTTTGAATAGTAGATGGCATAAGATTTGTGGCTCAGTAAATCAGATTGAAGAAACAATCATCTTGAATTTCTTCTGTTCAGTCTCCTCTACTTTAGGAGATCCTCTCCATCTACAATGCAAATTGTAACGTTATCATAACTACTAGACCTTGTGGTGATTATTTATTTTCTTTGTGTCTGTAGCAGCAACCAAATCTGAAGGGACAGAAAGGGGAGGCAGCGGTTATTGAACCTGTGAGTAAAATATGTTTTCTGTCCTGGCTTTGCCAAGATCCATCAGTCTGTTTGGAGACTTAATTTCACCACCAAATGGTGGTTTGGGGTTTGTGGTCAATTCAGTTTTGATTCTTGGAAGGATAAATATCCAAAATTCTAGTGGTTGTCAGACAGTTGAGAGATGATACTAGCAATATTCTCTGGAAACTTGAAATGGAGAATTGGATCTTGTATGAGGACAAAAATCTTGCAGACAAATACAAAACTAAACATTTACAAATATATGAGAATGGAAAATCTGTTTCTTTATTGTATTCACAGATTGGTTTCTGGATCTTAATTGAATGTTGTATATGCTTTATTATTAGCTGTGATATGCTGGGTTTTCCCTCTGAAAAGTATAGATCACAATATAGTTTTCCCCTTCTGGGGATTGTTAGCTTAATTATGCCCCAGAATCACTGGCATATATCATAATAATATCTCACAGGTACAGGTGATCTAATAATGCAACAATTAGCTACCTATTTTTTTATACATTCAACAAGGATGTCTACAAGCTTGTTACTTGTGCAGAACATTTAATCATAAGCATGCAAGTGGTTTATTCCTCAGGTATTAAAGAATCATTAGCATTTCCCTTATCCTTTTTACAAGTGTGTGAACTTATTTCAGTGCTTAGAGGCAACTATATTCACTATGTAATTTTGTGAATATTCACAGGCCACAGAGTCACCCCTTCCCTTCAGAACCAGTTCAGGGTTATTGAATCTTTCCCCTTTCTTTTTCTTGCAGGGTATGATTTTTGAAGGGCCAGCTGGATATCGAGGACCACAGGTAAGAGACATAATAAGTGTGGTGTCATCAGTTTTCCCAGCCAATTATTTAGTTATTTCCCAAAGTTATTTAGGAGGTGGTCACCTTCTTGCTGGCTCCTGGCTTTCCCCCCACCTTCTGGGCAGGGAGAGATGATTTGCAACAGCACAATCCAGGTTGATGCTATTATATAGGATTAGGAATAGATTTTTCTTCATGTCTTTCTGCTCCTTTTTCTGCCTTTCCCCTATGTGTCCTTAGATGGGAGAAACAAAATCACAGGAATGTCTTGAGAGAGTTGATTGGCCCTTCTCTGTAGGATTTTGTCTCAGTCACAGATGTTTGAAAATATATTTAATATACAGTAAACCTGCTCGCAGGGCTTGGAGTAAGTCCCAAATACAATCAGGGTGTATGCAGGCAAAAAGATACATTTGAACTTCATGTAGCATGATTACTCCCATGAACATGACCCACTGAAGTGTGCAGTTCGTGCATGATAATTGATTTGCCCCAAAACGCTCAGTACATTTCATGGGAATGTGAATATTTCTGTGATTCCTCCCACCCCGATATTTTAGCACGAAAGTAACAATATTCTTCTCTCTGTTTTGTTTTGCCAGGCAGTTGCAAGAAAATATAAAAATTAGTGTATTTGGAAATTAGATACCTATTTCTTGAACTGAACTGAGTTACAGCCCTCAAACTGTTGACTCCTGGAAACTTAAGAAACCTTTATTTCAACAGCTCATTTTCGAGAAAAGAAATTATAAGAAGTTGGGAGTCTTTTTATCAGTCTGTCAAAGATCAACTGGTATTCTGATCATAGATCTTTTAAATACTTCTTAACTTACTTCCCCAATATTGCCTTCCTATAATCAATTTTCAACTTCTATAGAGTGAAAAGTCCAACTGTCACTCCATTTAAACTCATTATAAGAAAGTAAGCAAACAGATTAGATGGAGTAAAAAAAAAACAGCCTTGGAGGAATTAGAGTTGAGTACTTCTTTCTTCAATAAGGACCTGTTACCATTTGTTGCTTATTGGTAGATTTCTCATAAAACATGCCATATGTATTTGAAATTTTAGTCGAGAAGTACAGAGTTTTGCAAAAAAGGTATAATCCAAGTACATCTGCAGAAGCAGACTAATGATTGATGTTAGTATTTAGGTGCTTTATGTGGTCTTTTTCCTGTTACTCATAGGGAGGAAAAGGGAACTGTGCCTGCAGCCTGATTTTTGGAACAGTCAGGCATGATATTGTTGCTATTAGATACATTTGATACAAAGCTGGACTTGGATAATAGTGTGTCGTGATGTTTCTATTTTAAAAAAGGAATTGTGTGTGAGCTTTTCTTCATTTATCTTAATTTTCTGCTGCATCATTTCCCAGGGAGAGACGGGTCCCATGGGATCACCAGGGCCACCAGGATTTCCAGGAGATCCTGGCGAGCAGGTAAGGAAATCATGATATGGTTCAAAAAAAATGATAGTCTCTTCGATTTTCCCCCTGGGGTTTTTTCATCCTCTCTGAAAACGGTGGGTGTGGGGAATAAGGAATTGCCGGCATGTGCTCCTTCAGTGTATCTCTTTGACAAGCCCCAGCTTGACTTTGCTTTCTTTTAGCCCAATGTTTCTCAAGAATGATTGTCAGAGGTATCTTACTTACTTTTGCACAGGGACCACCAGGACATCCAGGTCTTCCAGGAGCTGACGGGCTACGTGGACCTCCTGGAACAATGCTCATGTTGCCAGTAGGTGATGCAGGGAAATGGGCCAGTTTGAGAATATATTTGCAGGAAACAACGTCATCCAGTCCCTTTGAAAAGCAAAAGATTCTAGAGGGATGTTGTTTTCAGCCTTAGTATTTGATGTAAAATGAGAATCCTTTTTTTAGTTTCCAGGGGCATTACTTTATTTTACAAAATTTTTTTATTTTATTTTACAAAATTTATATGCCGCCCTTCTCCCCATGGGACTCAGGGCGGCTCACAGCATGTTAAAACAATATACAAAATTACCCCTTCTAAAAACCAATTAAAACCCAAATATTAGTGGCTGTGACTATTTAAAATCATTAAAAATTATCCCTATTTAAAATTCACCCTAGGTCAG